AATCGTCACAAAAGAGACCACCAATCTGCTATTCTAACTTTAGAGTACAGTTGTGAGGATGTAACTGATAAGTTAACAGTTATCCAAGTCTTCCCATTAATCTAGCACCCTTCTGCATATTTAATATGTGTTATCTCGTTTAACCCTCCCAACCACCCTACGGTATGAGTACTGTAATTAGCCCCACTTTTCAGCTGAGAAGACACAGCATGGTCACATAAAACACTGAGTGGCAATTTCTTACAATAATAATAATCACAAGGTAATTCTAATCCTATGTCAAGTTAGTAGTTTGGATGTTCAGAAGATAAAAGAGAAAATGATGTTTACAGGACTGAGGCTATTTCATGGAAAAGGAAAAAATTAAAACTGAAGAATGAGTAGGATCTGCATGGGCAGAACAGACAACAGTACTACAGGTGAAGGAAAGAACATGACCACTGTCAGAGAAATAAGAAAGCAACACAAAAGAAGGACAAGAGTAGACAGTTCAGATCAGAAAACTAAAACACAAAGCTGGAAAGTCAGAGTGTGGAGGGGCTGGAATCTGAAGGAATTTGCAGTTTTATGTGAATCTGCATTCTTAAATCAGCCCTTTGTTATGCTGCTTGAGCCTGCCTAACAGGACCTGTGCAGGAGTTTAACATGTGATTAGCTAAGGTTCAAGCCATGCAGTGGTTTTCAAACTCCAGTAGGAATCATATTTCTCCCCCAGCACTGAGGTTTAAACCCATGGTTTTGTGCTTACTACCAAAGTGATCTATTGATCTATCTATTAATGAACTATATTCCCACCCTATATAAAATTTCTGTAACCTGTATTCACCGTTTACTAATATATCATGAGTACTTTCTAAGCTCTTTAAACATTAGGTATAACATTATTTGTTAGCTCTAGGTCTTCATTATACATCAGGGATAAACTCCTATTTTAGCTGTCTTTCTGCATATCTAATTATTTCCTTAGGATAAAGTCCTAGAATTAAGATTCCTGACTCAGAGAAAATAAACATCTTAAGTTTTTTTTTTCTTGTGATACCTCTTGGTAAATTCTCCTCCAGAAATATCAGCATTATAAGATTTTATCTATTCGGAGGTAGGCTTTTAAATTTTAAGTTAAATGTATTTATAAAACAATTTCTCTTCCACTATTATTTCTGCCAGAAGGACAAAGGCCCATTTTGAAGTTGAAAATAAGCAAGCATAGAACTCACAGCTTGGTTCCTAAATATCATACTCCAAGTCAGGCTTACTGACGCAAGACTGTGTGAAGAAATGACTGATTCTAGTAGAAAAATTCTAGATTTTTCAAAAAGAAAAAATATCCAAGATTGAGGGGCATATATCAAAAGGACATCACAGCCAATCTGAAGGTGCTTTTGTTTACTACATTTGGGATACTTACAACACAAAAATGAGTAACAGTAAGACTATAACACTTTGTAAAAAAAAATAAAAACAATCTATAAGCAAACAAATGGATGCATATACAAAAGGAAGAGAAAAGGAATAAGGAGCAAAATTCATAAAGGGGCAACATCTTGGTTTCTACACAATACAGAACCATAATAATACTTGATTCAAACAAGAAGCATCAAATGGATGCTAAAATAATTAGGAAGGTGTTGAGGAAAGATACTTATATTCCCACAGTGTCTATAATAGCTTAATTATTAATTACAAAGGGAAAAGGAATATTGTACTATGGAGAAATTCAGTAAACTCTTAATCAAGGGTTCAAAATTAACACTGCCAAAAATCGGACAAACATCACACAACTCCCATTAAGTCATGCCAAGGACCACAAAGGGCACAAAACCAAAGCTGCATTCCTACCAAAACTGTGTAAACTGAAACTAGAGGAAGACAAAATCAGATGAACCAAAAAGGGGATACTGTGCATAACAAGTTCAAAAGTGTCCAAGTCTTAAGAGACAAAGGAAGATTAAGCCAGAATAAAAAGATATGACAGTTACATGAACTCTTTTATCCTGGACTAGATCCTAGGTTGAAAAAATTGCCACAAAATTCATCAGGATAACTGTCAAAATTGAATTTAGAAGTCTGATCATTAAATTTCCTGATTTTGTTCACTGTACTGTGGTTATGTTTTTAGGAATGTTAAAGATTTAACATTCCTAAAAATTTAAGGATAAAGATACATAGCATCTACAAATCACTCTGATGGTTCAACAAAAACTGAAATAAATTTATCGCATTAAACTAATACTATTAAAGCAAATGGTACAAACCATAGCACTAAGTGGTGCACTCGGGGCAAGGATATCTTTTTTTTTTTTTTTGTCTTTTTCCTTTTTATCGGTACTGGGGATTGAACTCACGACTGCCTGCTTGCAAGGCAGGCGCTTATGCCCAGGGCAAGGATATCTTAAGAGTTCATGGTATTGTTCTTGTAATGTTTTTCTAAGTTTAAGAGTTGTTTTAAAATAATGTTTCAAAGAGTATGTTGAGCAATTGCTGTTTTTCTTTCTTTTTTTTATTAGAAAAGTAATACAAACTGACTAAAGGGGAAAGTAACACACACTGGCTAAGCTAGAGGTCTGCAAAGAAGTAAAAGAGCCCTCCTGGTCCCTTTAACATAAGCAAAGTTAAAGAATGTGACATTCATTTTCTCCACATTTCACTAAGCTCACAAAGCATACAATCAGATGTCAAATGATTCTGACAAGTCAAATGGAGTGACAAATACTTTACAAAATGTTCCAGCTCCTCTAAAACTCACTGGCAAAAAATGACCAAGTAACATGGGATTGAATCAATAAATTGAAAAAAAATCTGGATCTTACATTTATCTTATCACCTAGAAAACACCGACAGCAGCCAAAATACATTTCATAAAGTATAACAATAATTCAGACAAGAAGTGCATGCTTCCTTCCCAATAAATGCCAGCATCCAGTCAAACGTTTCTGAATTTTAAATTCATGTGGACTCAGCATGCGTTTGCAGGTGCTTTGCCATAATGATGTCTCAATCACTCACCACCCCTGAAAAAACCCCTACACTGAAGTGGATCTTTTGGGTTTTCCTACTTTCAAGTTTGAGTTAAGTTTTTGCAGTTTACTGTAATCAACTCAATTTCCAAACTCCTGCACAGAAGCAGGATTTGGCAGTTTCTAATTCCTGCATTCACCCCTGTGCTTTCCCACGTCATGTTTCTGGCTCTCTCATATATAGTAGAAAAGATATTTTGTGTTTATGTTTATAGTCTAGGAGTAGATACGCTTCAATTTATGTTTCCTATCAAAATCTATTTCCTATTTTATAAGGTCTCACATACAAAAATAATATAAGAGCATGGTCATTACTGAAATTTCATAACCTAACACTTAAAATATTATCATACTTATAAATGTCTTAATATAAGTGGGTAAAATTAGTTTATTTTCTTTTCTTACCTGGTGAACTAGAGATTTTGGAATTAAATACTAAAGAGCAAGGGGTCTGGCATTCTGTATTTCACTTGCTCCTCCTTAGACAGCTTAACAGAGTTCTCAAAGTTCTATTTCCCAAAGTATAAAATGGAGAAAGTAATGTAAAGATTAAGGGATTAGCCCAGAGTAAGAAATGGTTTTATTACTTAGCTACTACTGAAATTTTTTTCTTGATCAAAAAGTGGGGAAAAAAAGAGAGCAAACTTTTTCTATCTAGTACATTTCTGTTTTGCAAACATTGGCTTTAAGAGCTCTCACTTTTTAAAAATTCTCTAAAACTAACAGGCACCTCAAGGCAGAGATATCCTTCTAGAGTCCTTCTGAGCTGACTTCAACAACTGCAAACATCACTGGTGACCCACAATTACAGAGCACTGCTAAGAGGAAACCCACAAAGTGCTGCCATTTGGGTGTCCTCCTCCAATCAATTGCTACAGTTCACTGGCAACAGTTAATGAAAAAATTAAATCACTCAGGGAGATGAAAGGATATTTATGGAAAAGTTCATTTTGAAGGGGTATTGAAATGAATAATAATTATCTAAAACCAGACATAAATAAAAATGGCCACAACAAGGTCCAGCAGGTAAAGATTAAGTTATCAGCAGAATGACTACAGATAATAACATACTGTACATTTCAAAATGCTAGAAAGAGTCTGAATGTTTTCACCATACAGAAATGATAAACGTTTGAGGAGACAGCCTGATTTAAGCATTATAATGTATATGTTTATGGACCACATGTACTCTATAAATATGTGCAATTTTGTATATATAGATCATTTTAAAAATTATATTTAAATTCTACAAAGCATCTGCAAAAGCCATCGATGTTGCTGAGCCCCTGTAGATCAGTTCTGTGAGTAGTTTTATTCCTAAGGCTGAACATGGCGAGCATGTTGGGCCACATGCCTAGGCAAGATGAAAGGTCTAAGAGCTCAGAACTCATCCAGAACCAGCATGAAGTCCAGACCTGGAAGTGAAGACCCTTTTCTGGTTTTAAAAGGAAGGGCAGCCCTATCTGGCTCTAGCGCTTACTAACTCTTCACAAAACCCATCAATGTGAGACATAAAAAGAGGCGAAACCCAACAGTTGGTATTGCTTATTTCTGTTTTTATCTTTTAAAAGACCGCTCTGAAGGGCCACAAATTCAAGGAGAGAAAGAGGGGGGAGATGAAAACATTACCATTACTCTTTACTGACCCCTCTTGGTTGCCCAAGGGAAGCAAAAGCACAAACCCTGGGAAGGCCTTGAAATCCCGCCTCGGCCTCCAGGAGCCAAGCTCACACAACACTGGCTCTTCTCTGCCATGGAAAGAAATCCTCCCACTTCAGATGACCCCTAGTAGAACTCAATCCCAAAGCACACGCTGCAATAATTTCTATTTATGGGGCTCCCAGAATGGAAATTGGGAAACCGCCTCATGGAGCAGCCCCAATGGCCTTGCCAGTCCCTTGCAGGCCTGTGACCCTCTAACTCTAGGTTGAAAAGCTTACGTAAGTGCTGCCGTGACCATTTCTGATAGCAGAAAACAGACTTTACCTCTTTCTCTATCTTCAGTAGCTTCTTTACAGCCACCTCCTTGTCCTGTGACAGCCATTTGGCTCGATAAACACTCCCGAAACTTCCTCCACCGCAGTTTTCAAAAAACTGCAAGTCATCAAATTTAATTTGCACAAAGGAGGTGCCGAGAGACGACATCTCATAATGACACAGTAGTATACTTCCACAAAACCTGCAAAAAGAAAGAAAAGGAAAAGCTGAATTACAAATAAATCACAGAGAATCCTTTGAATACGACTTCAGGGAATGCATAACAAGTCCCATGAAACTTGTAGAAGGATCATGATGACTTAAGAAAGAGAAAAGACAGACAAATGGAAATGAAAACACTCACGCTGGCTGTCCGTGGGAAATTTAACAGCAACTTGCCTAGGCTTTGAAATGCAGCTGTCCACAGAGAAATGGCTCAGATTTCCTGGGACAAAACCTGTAGCAGCACTTCCTACACTTCCCGGGGAGCTCTGCCTAAAGGCTACTGTGTCACCAGGTCTGCTATCAGGAAGCCCTGACAAACGGGAAGCATGCTTTCAACAGCGAGCTTGCATAGCTCTTCTGGCATGCACGGCATGCCATCTCTCCATGCTGCACTCACTTCACACAAAATATACATAACCTAAGCCACCGAGCATCCTGGCACCAGCTCAGCCAAAATGCTGCACACGGAACACACATCCAATGCTTAAACTCCAAAAAGAAATTTTCAGCTCAGGAATAAAACAAAGGCTGGCCAACTGTTTTTCCAAAAGTGGTTCCCCGCTCTGTATACCATAGCAGAACTTAATTAAAGTGCAGAAAATTTGCCCTTGATTACAATATTGTAAGTCATCCAACGAACACTGCCAAGGATATTTAAAAAAATATTATGCCTGTTTCCAGAGGAACAGATTGCCCCTCCCAGAGATAGTACTGTGATAGTTTCTGTGGTTTAAGAGGTCTTACTGTTTTCCAGGTAAGTGGATATTCTTATTATTCTGTATCAAACCACAGATAAATACAAAAAAAAAAAAAAAAAACCAAGAAAACAGTGGACTGAAATTCAAACCTGCATAAAAAACTAAAAACAGTGGGTAAACAAGTTTGTATACATATTCTTGCCAAAATTATACAAACCCACATTTGTAGGACATTCTACAAACAACTGGCTTCTCATAACTGTCAGTATCATGAAAGATATTTTTAAAAATTAGTGCAGGGAGACATCTTAACATAAGAATTGAAAAAAATATAATGACTAAATACAAGTAGTCAGTCATAGATAAAAAAAAATATAGTAACTGCATTAGATAATACTATTTTATACAAATAATGGTATTTTGGTTTTATAGGAGGACATCCTTGCTCTTGGGAGATAATGCAGATATATTAAAGTATAATATGTACAACTTACTTTAAAATGGCTCAGGCACCATCACTGCCTTCCTTAAAAAGTGGGGGGACGGTGCCAACACACCAGTCAGAGAAACAGAAAGCAATGTGGTAAAATGTTAAGAACTAGTAAATTAGGTGAAAAGCATATGGGCATTTTACTATTCTTTCCATTCTTCTGTGAGGTTTGTTTCCTCAAAATAAAAATGTAGACAGGGAAGGGAGGTTGACACCTACACATATTCACAAAACCTCTGTGAGCAACTGAGATTCTGCTGAGTGATGCACTCAGCTCAGAGGTCGTAATGCACAGCTGAAGTCAAACTGCTCTACTTTGGGGAGAAGGCAAGAAAGAGTAGGGGTGACTTCTTTACCCTCAAATTCAAAGAGAGACATGAAAATATGGTTTGGGAGAAAATGTATCTGATAGAGGCTATATATATTTGAATCAATTACCTTACCAATTTTTCTACAATCAGTTAACTGCTGACAAGAAAAATATGTGGATAAAATTTAGAAATGTGCCGAAGTTGGTAGATAGTATGCGCAAACTAAAAAGTTCATTCAGCAAAATGCAAAACATCACGCAGTATTTCCCACCATCACAGACACAAAGCCCAGATTTTATTAATTTTACCCTTATCCAAGTATTAAAAAATATTCCCAACACTCTAAGAGGCCAAGGCAGAAAGATCATAACTCTGAGCTCATCCTGGACAATTTAGCAACCTATAGATATCCTGTCTCAAAATAAAAAATAAAAAAGCCCTGAGGGTAGGGCTTTTTTATTTTTCAGTGCAAAGGCCCTGTGTTGAATCCCCAATGCAGAAAAGTAAAATAGAAATGTAAAGAAAGTTTTAAAAAAAGAAATAGAACCACAAAGCATATAGTACAAAATAGAAGCCCCATCCCACTGTTCCTCACACCCAATTCACACTCCAGAGGCAAATAATTTCAACTTCTTTAGCATTTCCTTCCACATTTCTAAATAATGTGCTTACAGTGTGGTTTCTTGATTTTTTTCTACTTTAGATATTACATGTGTCATACTTGCTCAATCCTCCATTTCTGATTATACTGTAACATTTGGTTAAATCAATATGTACTTAGTGTTTATAGTAGTCTGACAAAGTAAATATAATTACCAGAAGTGCCACATAGAATTTAATGTTTATATTTTCTTCCTTGGATAATTTTGTTTCCCCTAAAGTTATCAGTTGTCTTTTGTCATTGTTGCTTGCTTAGCTTTTTATACTCATAGTTATTCACCTCATCAAACTCCCCCAAGAACTAAAAACGCCTTTGATAAAATAAAAGTATCCAATTCTTTCTCCTTTAGTCCCTCCTCCCCCCCCCCACTTTTTTTTTTCTTGGAGACATTTCTACATACTTCATCCTGATTCTTCCTAGCTGGAATGGTTGTTAGGCCTTACCTGGACTGGGACTTCCCTTGGCTACATTTAAGAATTTCTTTCACCTTTTTCCTCTGAAGGAACCCCTATTCTTGGATCTTTCATTTTCTTAGTTTTTTTCCTGTATTTTGACAACACGGATCTCTCACTATCTGGACAAAGTGCACAGAATACAAGTTCTGAGAATCAGTGAGTGCCACAGTGCCTTGGCTGGTATGGGACTGCAGGTAAGCAATCACTCTCCAGAGAACTCTGAAAGTAGGACTTCTTTTTCTTGTAAATTCTAATAATGCTATTGAGCAATCTGATGCTCCTCTGATTACTCATATCCTTTTTACATTTTTTTTCTTCCTGGAAGCTTTTAGGACTACTTTTTATTTTCTATTCAACCCTGGAATCCTGAATTTTATAGACTGCTTAGGGGCGAGACTTTCTCCTTCTCTGACAGGATGCTTGGTGGACTGTTTCAATCTTAAACTTCTCTTTCATTCCAGGAGACTTTCTTGTGTTGTTTTCTTACCACTTATAGTCATTTTCACTTCGGGTCCTCTCGTGCATATGAAGAATTTCTGCTGGCTTCTCTCATCTCACTATACCTTGCATAGGCTAGTGTCTCTGCTCAGCCAGCTCCTATCCTGATCACTTCTTTGAGGCTCATGAGCAAAGTTAGTTTTCTCTTTTTTATGCCACAAAACCTTTCTGTACTCTTTCATCATTCCTACTAAATTTCCACCAGACTACACATAAATTTCCCAAAAGCAAAAACTCAGTTTGATTATACCTGAATCTTCAGCACCTTGTCCATGGCCAAACACTTAGCAAGTACCTTTTCTATTCAAAAACATTTGCTGAATAAATGAATAAATAATTTTTGATTATCCTTCTATTATATTTTTTGCAAGATTTTAATCAAATTAGGTAGAATCTAAGAACTGAGGTTTTTACAAGTACCCCCAGAAGATTCCAAAGCAAATCCTAATTTGGTAGCGGTTACGTAGGGTTCACAGGAAACTGAGGAAAGTGTCCCCCCCCCTCGCCGCCATATTGCCTCTCTCTGAGTCTTGGGGTAGAAAGGGGTAGAGAAATCCTTTCCAAAACAAAAGTAGAGATCTGAACCAGGGTGAGATCAATAGCATTTAATCTAAACCCAATGAAAAGCACCCTTCTGTAGATCTTCAGCCCTTGACACAGGCAACTAGTTACATTCTTCCCCAAATCAGTGTTACATTATGGTACACCCTGCCATTTGGGCATTGGCTATATATGAATAGAATCTATGCAATTACTTGAATGTTTCATTGGGACTGTAAGAAGTCAAGTCCTGTCTGATTACTAAAGAGACTAACAATTCTAGTGTATCTCAATAGATGTTTTAATCCTAGTGAGCTTCGAAAACTGAAAAACTTGGTAGAGGCTCCTATTCCCATACACACTATATGAATACTGAGTTTTTTCTACTTTCATTTAAAGCCATTACTCAAAAAAGATCAGCATATGACCTGAAGAATGAAAAATCTGGGTTACTAAGTAATCATGTCCACAGCATCCGGGGCAGACTGCTACCTAATCAAATTATATTCTAGTCTTTCAAATGTATTCACCAATGAATATACCACCTATATAAATCTGTCTATATCCTATAATGCCACATACAATACTTCCAGCAATGTGAAAAGAATTGCTTTTCCATTTTTAAAGGGAATTTTTCTCCATGTAACAATTCTCAATCCTTATTTGTTTGTTTTTCATCACACAGCACTGAAGGATAAGTTAGAGCAGGAATATTAGAAATATTAAAGCAGAGTAAGGCATCAAAACCCTGAAATGGGGCCAAGGGCTTTGCTCAGCAGCGTGAAATGCCTGCTTGGCAAACACGAGGTCGTGAGTTCAATCCCCGGCACCAAAAAAAAAGATGCTAAAAATCATAATTCAATGGTTGAATCCAACCCAGTGAATAGTTGAGTAGCTGCCAAAAAATTTTTTTAAAGTTTTTCAAAAAATTTAAATTATTAACTAAATTGCTGAAAGCATATATAGTATCTCGAGTTAACTGTCAAAAGTGGTACCAGATGAAAGTAGAAATCTCAAAGGGAGCATTATTTTATTTTTTAAAGTTTCCAATCTCCGCCACACAATAAATTTAAGTGTCTCTGCTCACAGATCTTCTATTTTTTATTTTTTAGAAAAGTGTTGACCCCAAATAACTCATCTGTCTCCCACCCCTTTATTTGTGCCCTAACCAAAAAAAGAAACAAAAAATAATCCACTAAAGTTCTAACATCAAAAAGTAAGGTTGTAAAATTAGACGCTGAGTTGAACCCTACTTGTACCTTTTGGTAATCCTAAATCACTTTTTCTCAGACTGTGGTATTTCCAGACTGAATAAATAAAAATGATAAATCCCTTCCATTCCATTTAATGTCTCAAAATCAATAGCCTAGAAGTGACTAAGTATATTCTGTATTACCTGACACTTCATTGATAAATCTTTCTTCCAAATGACAGAAATTTTGACACAGAAGTAGCACAGTCCAGGGGATAGACAGCTAACCTAACAGAGCGATCTAGTAGCAAACCCAAACACACATTGTTAGATCCTGGACCTACCAGAGATGCCTCTCTGACCTCAGGCTCCTCACTAGCAGTAACACTTATTCTGTGCAGGTTTTGAGACACAGGAGAAGGTGTAAAAGTGCCTTGCGTGGTACCCAGCATGTGACACACATACAATACATGGAAATTATGGTTTTCTCATCATTTAGT